ACACAGGTCCTCCTACTTTAGTGGTTCATCTCCAAGTTTGCTTCTGCGCTAAGCCAGGGTAAAGAAGGCTGAAGGGTGAGTCTAGAAGATCAAATCAAAGGCTTCCGAAAGTCCATTTGACATTGCTGTCTATATATGACTTCCACATTGATGACCTTCCACAAATTTATTTTCTATCTATTCCCTAGCTCCTTCCCATACTGTCTCCTATACACACTCCCACTACACAGCCTCCCCGTGATGACATGATGTCTCCCAATCTCATCAAATCTCATATCTGACAGAATAATAGATGTGCACTGTATTGGTAACTCCATCTTCTCCAGCCTCAGAAACCTAAATACAGCCAAATTTCCTACATATTCTATACAGTAGAAGCACTTCAATACAATATGTTAAAAATTCAGACTCAAATACTACCTCACTCACTTCAGTGGGTAACATTAATTGCCACTAAAACTTCCTAAATGCCAGACTTTTAAAGTATTGCTGAGCTGTAAAGTAAGCACACCATTTCCTTCCAGGAGTACAGAACACATCATGGGCACCTATGGTAGGGCCTAGTGGGCTTAAATCAGTTGGAATATTCTGATTCCTTGGCTGTTTAAGGAATGGTCATGTGATCTCAACAGTACCATTACTGTGAATCTTAGGTTTTTGATTTGAAATATTCAGACAGATGCATTTTCCCTATGCATGTAAATCCAGAAGCAAGGACGTATTTCAACAAGAAAGGAGAATGATATTTTAAATTAATCATTAAGTAATAATTAAATGATTCCTTTATAATTATTGAATCCAAGGACCAACAATCCAAATCGTGCCCTAATATCTGTCTTCACCTTACCTGAACCAATGTCTCCCTGAATGTATAAAGTCAGTGTGAGCTGAATTTTCCATTATGCACAGGATAACTCATGAAGAGTAAGATTAAATATAAAAGCAGATGTAATAATATTATAAAACAAAAAGAAATAAAAGGTGTAATCCAAGACAGGCTTCTAAAAACCAAACAGTAAAAAATACCAAAAAAAAAAACCAAAAAACTACAGAACAGCCAGAGAGATTGCCTTAACAACATTTGGCACTGGCAGAATAATGGGAAAGTTAGCTTTCCAAATGTTAAGAATGCAACAGTGCAATGAGTTCCACGTTGTATAAGGTGAGTGACAGAGGACTGCTTTAGGCTAAGAAACAGGAAGAGACTGTGGTAGTCAAGAGAGCTAAGACTTCCCTATTTTGAATTCAAGGCTACACACTACTGAATTCCTTAGTGTTCTACATAACTGTAGGAACTTCCATTGGCTGCGATAAATCTGATCAGATTCACATGTCTATGCATTCTCTACTGTACTCATTCTGATCCAGGAAAGCACTGTCAATCCTCATTTAAATATTTATAATCAGGACAGAAACAGCAGCAGCTTTGATAGCTTGATGTATCACTGAGCCATCTGCTCCATTTTCCTGTAAGAGAGCTTTGAACACACCTGGAAGTTTAGAGGGGCAGAGGGAAAAACAGGGAGAGAAGTTGCTTGCCAGTTGATCAACTGACAGGACTGAGACTCCTGCAGAGGTGGCTGGATCAGGGAACACAATACTCATCAGTGTATTAATCCACTGAGATTCGTAGCTGAATGTGTGGCTGCAGGATGTGCACCACTGGGGCGGGCCTTTGGAGGGCATCCTTTCTGGGCTCTTCCTTTGGGCTCTATTTCCTGGCTGCTAGGAGGAGAGCAACTTTGCTCCACTGTGCCCTTCTGCCAGGATGTCTCTGCCTTGGAGCCAGCTTAATATGGACTGAAGCCCTTGAGACCGTGAACCGACGTAAACTTCACCTCCTTCGAGTTGTGGTGTTTGTCTCAGCAATGAGAAAGTTTACTAATTTGAGGAGAGAGGAGGAGGGATTTAAATTTCATGCTCTCAAATGCTGACAGGCCCACAGACCCTCTGTCCTTTCAAACCACCCTAGATAAATCTTCAGTTGCTTTCCTCACTTTTACCAGTCTCAAACCATAGGCAATCTGTCATTTGTTCCTACTGATTCTTGGTTGAAAGTAAGTCTGGAATTCATTCTTTTCATTTTCAAGGCCAATGCCCAGGGTCAGACCTTTGTCCTTTATCTCAACTACTGCAACTGTCTCTTAACCAGTGTCACTGCATCATTTCTTTCTGCCTGTCCAATCCATCGCAGGGCTACTGAATCCTTACAGAAAAAAATGACTGTATTTTAATTGTACTTTGCATCCTTCTCCCTTCTACTAGTCCAGATACTCGGTGATATCCACTGGTTTTAGAAAAAGTACAAAGTGCTTAGTCTGCAAACAAACCATCCATGTTGCAGATCATGGTCTCCTTCAGCACAGTATCCTACCATTTTCCTCCTATAGGCTGTTCCCATGGAAAAATGGAATTTACTAGAACAGTCTTTGTGACGCCATACCTTCCCTCTATAAAATCACCTCTTTTTTGGCTCTACTTAAGAAATGTCTACCCGTTTTTCAAGGTTCAATTTAAACATCCTCTCCACCATCAAATCTTTTTAAATATTAAGACCACATTACACTTCTTCAATTGTGCAGAGAACTTTTGTTATGCTTCTCTTTTGCTATGTACTTGGCTGCCTCATCTTCTAAATGTGGTGTATAAACTTTGTTCTTAGTAGTGAGCAAAGTGTATCATATTTCAGTATGAGGTTGTCTTTATCCTCTGTTATTTTCCCCAAGACTCATTCTTATATCCTCTTTATTTAGCAAAGCAAACAACATTCAATACATGCTCTGTAAATATTTCTTGAATAAATAAATAACTTCCCAAGAGACTAAATGTTATTTGAGGATAAGAATTGTACTGTATTCATCTATATTTTTCACAGTGGCCAAAAATCCTCCTGAGTAACAGAAATTGCTACAGCTTGAATAAAATATTAGGTTTAGACTCTGGCCTCCTGTGTTACTGAATCTGGCTAAACCTAGAACAGTTTGTCATTTTTCATTCCAAAAATATTTATGGAGTACCTTGTATATGCCAAACCTTATTCCAGGAGCTGGAGACAGAATTTTAAATAAGATAAACCACACATATGGTGCAGTGGAGGAAACAGCTGTACAAGCTAATAAATCAATCCTCCCAAAAAGTTCTTCTTGACACCTAAGCTATATTCTTAAACAAGGTTATAACTAGACAGCCATCAGTGTCTCTTCCCTATACCTTGCTTCAAGGGTTGGGTAACAAAATGTAAAATTACTACCATTGGATGAGGAGGAGGAGGTAGAGGACAATTATGATTGCTTTGTATTTTCCTCCTCTTGTTATTTAATTTCAGTGCTATCTCCCAAAAGACCTCATTATGCCGCTTTTGGAAACAACTGAAATTGCTTACCATTTTTCCATTTTCATGTTTTTCATCTCTAACGTAACCTCTCAGAACTGACAGAACGCTTACAGCTCTGTTCAGAGCCCTCAGTGGCTTTGTATTGTAGACAGCGGGGGAATGCTGCTCAGACATTTTGGCTTCACATTCAAAGACTCACTCAAAACATATTTCCAATGCCTTTTCAGAATCATCTGTATTGTTCTTCCTAAAATCCAGACTACCACCAAACTATCTTCTGATTCTGTATGTTTCAGCCTCTCCTTTGCTATTTTTTCATTCACTTTATTCAAATTCTACCTGTATCTCAGAGCAAAATTCAAGAATCTTCAATTTGTCATGATTTTTTCCTCTGCATAATAAAGTACAATTTACATTATAATTTTCCCCCTAAGCGTACCTGTTTCTACTTCATAATTTAGTTACTTACAAGAAGTATATATATATATATATCAAACTAGAGTGTATATAATCATTCATTCCATAAATATTGTATTGAGCATTTACTGCCTTTCTATTATCCTCAAACAGCTAACTCATATTACATTCACAGTACAGTAAATATTCTGTAAATTCTTGTTGAGTGAAGGCAAAATCCCAGTCAAGTTAAAGTACATCTGAACTCAAAATAATCTTTTTCTAAACATGAGTAAAAATCACCACTGATGAGACATATAAGAATGGTAACAAGTTCTTGCTTATCATATTTAAACACGTATGAAAATAAATGGGTAATGTGGTAGAAAACAATATCAAATAATAAGAAAACTCATATGAAGTAATATGGAAATATTGATTCAATGTTTCCCACTTCAATTCACAGATGCACACATCATTTGAAAATACAAATTCATAAAGAGACATATATTAACTTATCAATTAGAAACAATAGTGTTGAAATTTGCTAAAATAAAAATCATAGAAAAATTATTCTAACATTACTTAGTAATTTTGTAAAATTTCATAAAAGTTTATGGGATTCTTTTTCCTCTTCTTTCCTAAGGAACCAGCTTTAGAAGATGATTGATGCCCGCTATTATGAGACTATATTTATATTTCCTTATCTTAGAAGCTTATAAAAACTATATTTAAAGCATTTCCAGTTATACTAAAAAGAAAGATAAAAGGTGATTATTTATAGGCCATCATATTCATGATGACAGACTCTCAGAAAGCAAATGCAAACATAAATTTTAAAAGCCTTTTGGAAAGAGTTGACAATAAAAACATTTACATAATTTCTTAGAAACTCTAGCTTTTTATTACTGAATTTCAATATTCCCTCCAGGCAAAGGAGCAGCTACTTCAAAGATTTATTTGATAGTGGAATGTTTGATTTCTTTGTGTTCCCTTCCCAGTGTGGGTAGATCTACAGTTTTTATTCTACCACAGTATACTGGGTTTCAAAATTTGAATTGGACCACAATAGATCCATTTAAAAAATGGATCTGTTTGGCAGGTTAAATAAATAAGCCAATGACAGCAATAAATATATAGACATACATTACACAAAAGTGCTACATTGTTACAAAACAATCAATTCTGATATCAGTCATTTTTGATAAAGGACCTGCTACTCTATAATTTAACTACTGACTGATATCCAACGTCTAAAACTTCTACTTACCTGCCTATCCACTTCTGGGAGCAAAAGAAGGAGGTATTGCTGGAAATGCTGAGGTAAAGAAGCAAACGTATGTTTATTTATTAATGCCCTCAAGTTAGTGTTGACAAGAATAGATCCTGGGGTTTCTATGTCAATGTCCTCAGCTCTGGTCCATTTCAAGTGTCCTGTGATGAATAAGCGAGAAGTATGACTTTACTACAGTTAGAGGAAAATACACACGCACACATGAATATGCATATCATGAACTCATATATTCAAAAATATGCTTACTTGTATCCCTTTTAAAATATTTCAGAAGAGAAACCCATAAAGCTCCTTTATTTATGTTTATAATTGGCCTTAGTCATTTTTAATTTCTATAAGATATATTACTTTCAATATCATCTACTTTTCCAACTCAAAGTAGAACCATGTCCCAATATAAAAGCAGTTTAATAATGAAATTCTAATTAATCAGAATTTGCAAAAACTTTGAAAGCATAAACGTTGACAGCTTCAATTTATATAAGTTCTATAAGACTTATGATCAATGATAACTGTAACAACAGGACTGTCAATGTTACTTTCCTTTTTATTTTTGCAGTGCTCGGGATCAAAACAGGGCCTTGTACATGCCAGACAAGCACTCTACCACTAAGCTACAAGTTCAGGCTACTGTGATCAATTTCAATGAATACGATGATAGTAACAGTAGCCATGTGCATTGAACAGTTGATTATTTCAGAATATTCCTATTCAGGGTATTTCTGAGGGTGATAATTTAAAAGTGAAATCTAGATAAAAATATACTACAAAGTCTGAAACGTAAATATGCTTTGAAGAATCATTATACAAGTCAAGGCACATTGGAATCAAACAAAAGGCTCTGATAGAGTTCACAACTCACAATCATGACCGACAAAGAAATCGATCTACCCTAAGAGAAGTCAACTGATACACTGAAAAGAAGAATTACTAGTCTTACTAAGAGAACTGCTTGACTAATTATAAAGAGCATGTTTTAAATCAGGAGCCAGTAAATTATATCCCATGAGTTATCTCGAGTCCAATGACTGTTCTGCTAAATAAAATGTCGCTGGAACACCACAATGTGTAGTTTGTTTACATACTGTCTGGTTCTACATTTGCAGTACAATGCAGAGGAGTAACAGAAATCCAATGGCTGGCAAATCCTACTGTATTTACATTCTGGCCCTTCACAAAGGCAAGCTCTGTTTCAAATAATTAAACAGAAAGGAAGAATACAAAAATAAGAAAAGTAAGGACCCTGTGATGAAAGAACAGTCAGATTTTAAACAGAACCAGATAAAAAGCGAATACAGCAGAAGAAAGAACTACTGCTACAGAGACAAAGGAAATATCTAGAATGTAGTAGAACAGCAATGAGCCACTATAGAATAAGACAAAAACACAGGGAACGTCATAAGGAGTCAGGGTGCATATCTATAGGAGTTTCAACTTGAAAGGATGCAGAGAGGCAATATTTGAATAGCTAACGGCCGAAATATTTAAAGTAAGTGTTCTCAGGTGCACTAATACATCAAATCACAAGAAAGACAGTATTCAGTCCTCTATCAATGCACTGAAATCTCCAAAAGCAGAAAGAGGATATTTTAAAGATATTTTATTTTGAACAAAACATAGATTATCTCCACAGGGATGGCGATGACATGGACAGAAAATATCAATAAATAACAGATGGGAGAAGCATATCCACAAAGAGCCAAAAGAAAATAAATGGCAATTCAGAATTTCATTTGCAACTATGTCTCTCAAAACGGGCAATGACATGGGAATATTTTCAGTACCCAAAATTGAAATCATATTCCTTAGAGAGTCTCGCTGAAATAAGCACTAGTGGGTGTTCCTGGTAAGTCAACTTGATCAAGGAAAAATGACAGGGTCCCTGAGGCAATGGTGAACTGAAAGACTAATAGACATGAAGTACTCTAAACAAACACTGACTGTAAAAATAATACTATGACAGCGGGAGCTAAGGTGGAAACAAAATACTCAACAATAATTATATGCAAAGTGGTATGATACAATTGAAATGAGATAATTAAAAGACCTGGCTATGGAGAATAAGAGACATGTGAACTAATTTTTTTATTTTGTTAAAATTTTATAGGTAGCCTTGGAAGACCAGAAAAAGAATTATGATTTTCACAGAAATAGATGGAAAAAAATCCAATCAAATGGCAAGCATAAAAGGAGAAAAGTAAAATAAATTTAAGTCCCATAGAAAGGATAAAAATTAGAAGATAAAGGCCGGAGTTGTAAAACGAAAAAGAAAAGTAATACCACGCTATAAACATCATACAAGATGAACACATGCAAAAACACTCCTGGTGATGAGAATGAGTGTTCCTTAAATGTGTAAGAAATAATCCACTGGAATATACAGTGGCTTTGAACCTGCATTCTTTTACATAGCATTTAAATGTAACATTTAGAGAACTGAAGAAAAATGACATGACAATTCTAGAAGGAGGTTTCCATATATATTATAAAAAACTGATAGACCAGACTAAAAACTATTTTAAGATTGCAGGAGACTTTAGCAGCCCAATAATCACTCTTAAACCAACAAACTTAATATAGGGTAATGCACTGAGCCATTAAAAGGACAAAACAGATGCTGGAGATTTAGCTCACAGGTACAGCATCTGCCTGGCAAGCAGGAAGTCCCAAGTTCGATTCCCGGTATCAAAAAAAAATAAATTAATTTTAATTTTTAAAAAGCAACTTTTTTCCAGAAGTCAGGTAACAGAAAGGAAAAACAAATCACTGACCAGTGAGTCTCAACAATGAAGAATCACAAAACTTCATACCTCTGTCCAAAGAAAAACAGGTATCAAAACCCAAAGAGAGTGACTCTAACTGCCCCTCCCAACATCTAATACACATTTAAACATTCAAAACCTATTTTTAAATAACTTAAAAATTAGAGAAAGTATTTTTGTTTGTTTACTGGGTTTTGTTTTGGCTTGGTTTGATTTTTTGAGATAGGGTCTTGCTACACAGTTCAGACTGGCTTTGAAGTCGCTCCACAGCCCAAGCTGGCTTCGAACTCAGGGCCTTCCTCGTGCCTTAGCCTCCCAACTGCCAGGATTACAGGTGGGAACCACCATGCCCACTGGAAGTAAGTTTTTTAATGGAAATTTAAGATATAATGTCAACATTTGCGAAATACTTCTCAAATTGTTTTAAAGGTAAATTTTAAATATTGGAGAGTGCAAAAAAAATAAAATACTTAGAGGTTAAGTCATCAAATCATAAAGCTAATAAATCAAAGAATAAAGCCTTAAGAAAGAAGAAAGGAAAACCTCTAACAGTAGACATTCATGAAATAGAAAAAAACAATGAAGATCATCAATAATAAAAATGTTTCTGTTTGTTTGTTTTGTTTTATTTTGTTTGAAGCAGAGTCTTGCTAAGTCCCTACAATGCTCAGGTCGGGAAAACTTGCAGTCCTCTTACCTCAACCTCCCAGAGTGCTGGGATGCAAGAATGTGCCACTGCAAAAGTTGTTTTTGATGATAAACTAATAAAATAGGTTTTATTTTATTAAGACTAAGAGTGAAAAGCAGAGACCTGTTACTGGATATAGTACATATTTAAGAAGTAGATTTAATTAAAAACAGACAACAGTAATATAATACTGTAACTTTGCCAATATCTTTGAAGACAGATAAACTAGTTTTAAGTGCACAAATTTTTAAATTTAGCTTACAAATAGAAAACCTGGATAAATGTGTAAAAATTAAAAAACTGTTCAGTAGTCAATGCCCACCTTGTACACACAAAGCACAAATTATAAATAGTTCTAAAGATAAATTAATGCGGGCTCAGGATTTTTATCTCTTCTCTAGAACTTTCCCACCAAAGTAACTATAACCTTTTTTCTCAAATAAGGACAAGGATAGTATGAGAAAAAACTTTATTAGCCAATCTCATTTGTAAATATAAAAAGAACAGAAATTATATTTACTTTAAAAAATATAACACTTCTGAGTTGAGGTGACAGGTGCTTTGGCATCCATTTTATTAGCATCTGTACTTTTCATGTGTTTGAAGTATTTCCCAGTACTGAAAAACTTAGGTCACGGGGAAAGCACAATCACAAAGACATTTGTTTTGTTTCCTTTACAAAAGAACCATAGGGAAAATCTAGAGAAATAAGGAGATATACAAAGAGCAATTTGCTTAATTTTTACTATGTTACCTAACTGTTCTTCAAGGTGCTGTGGTGATTTATTGAGAGACACTCTGATAGAAGGGGAGGATTGGGAAAATAAAAATAAATGTGAAACTTCTGAAATGCACACTATGACAAACACTCTGAGAAGTAGGACTGTTGTTTCAAAATCAACACAGTTCAAAATCTTTAAGTCAATCATAGAAAAACAAGTGTCAGCAAGATACACAGTCTCTCATGACTAAGCCAAAAGATCTATTTCAAAGATGTCCACCTAAGCGAAAATATGTTTTATAATTTTGGAACAAATAGAAGATGTTCTAAATTTGTTGGCACAGAGAACATTTAATTCAATTTTAATTATCCTTACACTTGCACTCTTAATTGGCTTAAGAACAATCCAATTATATATGATTGTCTTATCTCATTACAGCTGGTAGTTCATATCTCTCTACCGTTCTCAGAGAAGGAAGAAGACACTGTCATGTTAATGTCTAATTCCTAGACACTCAGCCTGGAGCAGTGATGGTCAACCTTTTAGAGCTTTCAGTGATACAGATAGCCTCTTCAGCCCACATGCCATAGCTGTGTCACCACTGGGTTTAAGGATCTGAGCAGGTGAAGCAGGGCAAAGCAGACAGGAGAATGGCCTCAGGGATTGCCCTCCAAGCTACATAAGAGCGCTGAGGTCATGATGAAAGTAATGCGCCTGTGTCAAGCCAGGATCAGGGTAATTCTCTGTTGTTTGGGCAAAGGGAGTTTTAACATCCCCAAGTAGAAGCTTCCGACTGAGCACCTGTGGTTCACAGGTAGGCTAATGGCTCCAAGGCTCACATTTCCAAAAGAGCACAAGAATTGTGCAAAAGATGTGTACACAGAGGCCCAGACACACAAGAAGGAAAGAGGCACTCGTGTGAGGGAGACCACATAGCAGAACTGCCACAACCGAAGAGTTCTTCACTG